GATGCGGCCAAGTAGTTGAGCGAGAAACTTTTGAGCCCCAGGGAAACAAGAAATCGACATACTTGTCCACCAGAATAAGTTCCAAGTGACTTAAAGAGATATACGTAAACAGCGCACACATGTCTGTAAAGGGGAGTACCTATAATTTTTAAAATGCATAACAAAATGTGCAACATTTCAAATAATTATGATGTGATTTTTTCAAAACACTTAAGTAGCTTGAGAAAATTTCTAGTTTTTTAAGCAACGTGAAAAATAATGCAATAGATGAAAAAAATTCTTATGAATACATCAATCCCTCGCTATATCACCTACTGCGTATTTACTTCATCAAAGGTTCTCAAGAAATATGAAGAAGAAAATTCATTCATGGATCTTGCCGGCTTGCAACCCCGGTTTCCGATCGAGGATGTCGATCGGCAGATTTGAACAGCCCTCGAATTCGATCGGCAGCAAGAGTGTAAGGAGGGTTTGGAACAACTTAGATTAGTGAAAACTCACTGAACAATTCGATATAAATGATTGTCTTCCTAACAGTCGATCAATGATATTATGTCCTATCAGACGATCAGATCTCGATCGCGGAATGTAACTCCCGTGATATGTGATGGATTCGTGTGACAGGATGCCAGCAGAAGTAAAGTAATCATAGTTTCTTCGTAAATTGGCAAGATTCACAATTATACGCGTTGGTCAGATACGGTTCCCAGTAAATCACATATGAACGTGTGTCTATATTCACTTGCTGCAACAGTGGAACACGTTTCTATAACACTTGCTCTTCTGGATGATTCGAAGAGTTTACAGTGAGGCGGAGTGTTGTGTGAGTTACCTTGAGTCGCTTCCTGAGTGTAACTTTGAGTCACTCTTCGGGTACTAATTTGCGCTATTGTCTGTTAAAGTAACTTTGAGTCACTCTGTAGAAGTAATTTTGAGTCACTCTGTAATAATTAAGAGTAACTTTGAGTCACTCTGTAGAAGTAACTTTGAGTCACTCTGTAAGAGCTGATTGGAGAGTCACACTTTGAGTTAGTTTAATAATTCTGCGAGTTAACTTGTGCCACTCTGTCGGGTACATCGAAATCAATCGATGAGATTAACTTTGAGAGTAATTATCTGAAAGTTAATTTGAGAAATACCACGTGGGAGTCAATTTGAGTCACTGTGTGTGAGCTAATTTGAGAATTTATTTGAAAATCATTTACTGTAAATTATTTTAGTCACCGTCTGAGAGTTAATTTGAACCACTATTAGAATTACTGCAAACTCTACCAGTCACTAGTCATTTTGTGAGTTAATTCATCAGTGCATGAGTTACTCAGTGATAGATTTACTCAACACTAGAAATATTCTGTTTGGATTACCGTCCGTTTCACCACCAACAGACAGGGTTCCCATGCAGCGCCCTGGCTGTCCACCAACAGGAAGCAACAGGTGTTCCAGGCAGCGCTGGAAGACGCCTCTCCTCCCGACCTCCAGAACTGACGCCAGCCTCTCCACTTCAACGACGGTTTTCCCTTCACACCGACGGCGGTTTTCATCTCCACATAGCTTATAGTTTTCATCTCCACATAGCTTATAGTTTTCATCTTCACATAGACGAGTTTATCTCCACTTCAAAGATCGACCTCTTTCTACACCGACGAAGGTTCCATCTCCACGCTGACAATTTTTTCTCCACACTGACGACGGTTCTACAGTATCTCTATACCAACGACAGTTTTTTTTTTTCTCCACACCAACGGTTTCATCTCCACGCTGACGATTCTTTCTCCACACCGACGACGGTTTTTCTCGCCCAACGTTAGTTTTGAGACGAGGCGGGAAGAGAAGAATAAAGGATTTGCTTTTTAATGACTCTGTTTACTTGGTGTTGGCGCTAAGCTGCCTTCATCACTGCCATCCTAATTCTTCAGCAGCTTCCTGGCTGCCTTTGTCCTATGCTTCTAAAGCTGAGGATACCAACCCTATTGTGTGGCGCTGTAGAATTAGAGACAACCTATCGGCGGCCACTGGATGGGCGCTCATGATCTGCCTGAGGTGTCGAACGCTGCCCTCAAAAGCAAATCGGTTCTCCTTTATAAGAAAAACGAAGTAGAAGTGAGGATTCATGATTCCTGTTGGCTCATATCACCAAACTTCCTTTTAATTCAAGTCCCCAACCTTTCTATTAGTTTATATCACTAAACTTTAAGCAGGTTAATAACGATAATTATCACCATTGATTAATTTAACCAAATTATCAATTGGTTTCTATTAACTAACTTCCTCTCGCATTATATCGTATCGTCCGGCCAATGACCACCCACCTATAATCATCAACAAGGTAAATCCAATGACCACAGTTAATTCAATATATCGTTAGTGGATATTACATTGAGCAACACACGAGGAATCAAATGAGGCGACGAAGTTCTTGATATTGCTTGGAGATTGCAAGCAACGCGTCGAGACCAGCCAATTAAGAGGTGTACGCGCTGCAACATCTAATCTTTATTGCAACATTGCGCACTCCATCAAGCGACCAGACACGACACATCACGAAACCTTCTTAACCTCAACCTCTTGAACAACGCTAACGCTCATTCTTAGCGTCCATGTCCCTGACAGCCTCAGTTGGGATTAAAGTTTGTGGGATGTTCGTAGTTGTGGAACAGGCAAGCAGTTCGTGTACACGCAGAATGGGGCTCATTTGAAGGATAATGTCTCACATACGCACGGTGGTCCTTACTTAATGATTTCTCTTGAAGAATGAAATAGTGAAGACGGCTGGAAATATTTATAGAAAAATAATATTATTAGAAGTTACTTCGATTCATAATTTTATGTAATTAATAGGTAGAGAATAAGGCTCAGGACTGAGGAGGTGAGGAATTTTCTTGATGTATATAATGATATTGTTTAAAGTAGATAAAGATGATGGTTTTACGTTATTAAATTTACAGGTTGCAAAATCTCATTTTAGGACTTTGAAGGCAAGATTATCCTGATATAATATTAATTTATATTAATACAACGATAAGGCTATTCAAGAATCATCAACTTCAAGGAACGATATGCATGTATTTGAACTCAGGATGAAGTGGTATCACTTCTATTACTATATTTCAATGTTAAATAGTCTATAAATTCGCTTGGATGCTAGATTCCTGTATCAATATCATTAGCGCCTATATCAACCTACTCAGTCTCATTAGCGTTGTATATTTATGCAGAATTTTTACCGAAGTGTTTTTTTACTGATAGTAGGGCTGAAAGGTGACAGCGGACTGAATCAAAAAGTTAGCCAATTTTCATTGCTATTCAAACAACCCTACTTTTTGAGGTTGAGTAAAGATAAATTGAAATTACTAGTTAATATAAAGTGGTGTTCTAAATGATGACCCAATTTAATTAATTCGTACTTATTTAATTATAAATTCGAAAGGAATAATTTAAGCACCAATGGAAAGAGAAAGATTCACATGTTTTTACATAGATATAAATGTTAAAAATGTCTCCCTTGTGCTGCACGGCAAACGTCTAAACGGCCGCCAAACTCGTCCCACTCACGAGAAAGCATATCTTCTGTTACTGAGTGGACCGTAGCAGTGATACGGTTCTTCAGATCAACCAGATTTGCTGGTAGAGGCGGGACGTAAACAGAGTTGCTGGTAGAGACAGGACGTAGAGTTGCTGGAAGAGGGGGACGTAAACAGAGATGCTGGTAGAGACGGGACGTAGAGTTGCTGGAAGAGGGGGACGTAAACAGAGTTGCTGGTAGAGGCGGGAGTAAACAACTTCCTTGACGTAACCCCATAATAGTCACACGGGGTGAGGTCAGGTGATCTCTGTGGCCAGAAAGCGTAGAGCCAGATCTTCATTTAATATGCGTCCTACCCAACGTTCAGGAAATGACTGATTCCACGTTGGAATAGGTTAAAAAAATTGAATCCGCCAATTCCGCGTTTCTATAGGCTAAAAATTCTAAATCTTTCTTTTTCCATTGATGTAGAAATTATTCATTTTGAATTTAAACTCAAATAAACATGAATTAAAAAATTAGGTCCATCATTTAGCATAACCTATCTATTTTCGAGTCTACAGTAGTATTAATGATTTTGTAATGATAAAGGTGAACAGGCAGTCGACGATGAACTCCATGAAATTAAGCAGCAGTCTGAAATTTGGTCTCAGGTAGTGATCTCAGTTTCATTGTGTTGGTCCAGTGAGTCCATCTCGCACTTGATCATAGAAGCAGATCTGCCTCAACAATACAAGGTCTGGGTAATGGATCAACGTCAATGAATTAGCATATTCATATGAGCCTACAGATCGATGGCCCTTTCAAAAACGACACCTCTTCACAAAAGGCAGTTCTTATCGTCCTCGCATCTCACCCCGTGCTAGTTTCACAAGAGGTAGCTCGCTTGTTCTCTTGCCCAACCATGCTAATGCAATCACAAGTCACTGCTCTGTAAGGAAGCATCACATGCGTATGGACATTGGCTGCTGAATGACCACCAAAATTCGCCGCTGGTTTTCAACGCGCAGCCTAATGAGTTCGTATACACTTGTTTTCTCTTCGTTGCCTTGGCGCAATACGACTGCCTGCTAACAATTGATACCTGGAAATTATTTGATAAATTTAAGCTTGATATAACTGAAGTGATTCAGTTCTAATAGTTATACCGACATTGAAAAAAACGTAAATAACCTGAAAAAGGCAGTGCGCTTCACCGCATCCATTATTCATTATTATACTAATCATAAATTCTTGAAACAACCACGTCATTAAACATACATATAAAATATGGTGAATAAACATACAAAATTTTCGCATTTATCAGTTTTATATTGTTTACTTATTCTAGAACTTCAGTAACGAATGGGTAATTTAAAATAACAGTTAGTAATTATGTAGAAATTGCGGCAAAAGAAATTAAAGTTTCGTGTTAATTTCTGGTGAAAGCTGAAGTCCGCCCCTCGTAATTGCTGCTCATTTACACCCCCGCACCGTGATGAAGTGCACGGCAGGCGATGGCAACGCTCCAGCCTGTGTCCGGGCAGCGTTGGGATGCACAGCAGGCGATGGCAACGCTCCAGCCTGTGCCCGGGCAGCGTTGGGATGCACGGCAGGCGATGGCAACGCTCCAGCCTGTGCCCGGGCAGCGTTGGGATGCACGGCAGGCGATGGCAACGCTCCAGCCTGTGCCCGGACAGCGTTGGGATGCACAGCAGGCGATGGCAACGCTCCAGCCTGTGCCCGGGCAGCGTTGGGATGCACAGCAGGCGGTGGCAACGCTCCAGCCTGTGCCCGGGCAGCGTTGGGATGCACAGCAGGCGATGGCAACGCTCCAGCCTGTGCCCGGGCAGCGTTGGGATGCACAGCAGGCGGTGGCAACGCTCCAGCCTGTGCCTGGGCAGCGTTGGGATGCACAGCAGGCGATGGCAACGCTCCAGCCTGTGCCCGGCAAGCGTTGGGATGCACAGCAGGCGATGGCAACGCTCCAGTATAGTAACACACAAGGACGAATAAAATTAGAAACTGCAACTGAAGAGTCGAGAGAGAGCTTGTGTTCCACTTTCAAAAGTATTAAGCATCGAAAGACATTACGATTTAAAATCTGTTTTCAATAATGAATATGCAAGAATACTTTCGCACTCACGCCCTAATCCAAGAATTAGCATCGCGTGTTCAGGTAGAATCAGCAACAAGATGCTGGTGTATGCGAGTGCAGTCAACAGAACTGGCGTGTTCGCGGCGTGTGTTTAACACATTTAAGCGCGCGTGCCCTAGTGGTGTTAGTACATTACATGTGTCAATCAGTATACTACGATTGTCGTGAGTGTACGATACGACAACACTACGATATACGTGAGTGTGACATGTAGTGTTGAGGTCACTAACACGCTCATGAATGAAACATATGAGGCAACACTCGGTGCCTGCACATCTCGAGCGTGTAGAGCTACACGCAGTACACGCACGTCACGAGCGTGTAAAACTACACGCAGTACACGCACGTCTAGAGCGTTTAGAATTACACGCAGTACGTGCACGTCTCGAGCGTTTAGAACTACACGCAGTACACACACGTCTAGAGCGTTTAGAACTACACGCAGTACGTGCACGTCTCGAGCGTTTAGAACTACACGCACGTCTCGAGCGTGTAGAACTACACGCAGTACACGCACGTCTCTAGCGTTTAGAACTACACGCTGTACACGCACGTATCTAGCGTTTAGAACTACACGCAGTACACGCACGTCTCGAGCGTGTAGAACTACACGCAGTACACGCACGTATCGAGCGTTTAGAACTACACGCAGTACACCCACGTATCGAGCGTTTAGAATTACACGCAGTACACGCACGTCTAGAACTACACGCAGTACACGCACGTCTCGAGCATTTAGAACTACACGCAGTACGTGCACGACTCGAGCGTTTAGAACTACACGCAGTACGTGCACGACTCGAGCGTTTAGAACTACACGCAGTACGTGCACGACTCGAGCGTTTATAACTACACACAGTACACGCACGTCTCGAGCGTGTAGAACTACACGCAGTACACGCACGTATCGAGCGTTTAGAACTACACGCAGTACACCCACGTATCGNTCACTAAAACTAGAAAACTCCAATTGTTTCGTTATTAAATGATTGCAATGCAGATTGCAAATCTACACTAATGATGAAAAAATAAGCTCTAAAGCAGAGCAAACTTGGAGCAGACTCAGCAAATTATTTGCGCATTCGCGGCAAGAAGAGAAGTTTCTTGCAAGAAACAAATGATAAATTATATCTGAAGGCTACGGCGCTTTGAGTATTGGAAGTCAACGAGTGAGCATTCGTTGAGTACGAGTGAGTATTCGTTGAATACAACGAATAAGAATTCGTTGAGTGCAACGGGTGAGTATTCGTTGAGGACAACGAGTAAGTAATCGTTGAATAGAACGAGTAAGTATTCGTTGAGAGCAACGAGTGAGTACTCGTTGAATACAACGAGTAAGTAATCGTTGAATACAACGAGTAAGTAATCGTTGAATACAACGAGTAAGTATTCGTTGAGAGCAACGAGTGAGTACTCGTTTATTAAAATGAATCTGGAATCGTTGCGAGTACAATGAGTGAGTGAGGCGTGAAGGAAGTATTGGAGGGCGACGAGTGAGACGCTTATTTTTTAAACTGTCATGAGCTAGTCAACAATTGAAAACAATTTTGAGTATAGGATAGAATTCTAGAAATACTGTAAATTTTGGTGAGTACATAACCGTACAACAAGTTATTTTAGATTAAGCACTGAATTGGAAGGATTCGATCAGTTCCTATGGACTAATCAAGATTTTACACAAAAATGCCTTTTTTTTAACGATCACATCGGAGCAGTCCGAGAAAATGTTCACTGAAGCAAAGAAATGAAGCGAGGTTCTCAGAAGTTGACAGTCATGGCATGAAACTTGAATGCGGAAAAATGATTAAATAAATCAATGGTTTGAAAAAGTTGAATCTAGAGCCATTTTCTGAAGAGTTTCACTGCAATTTTTAAACCAGGAACATAAATACATAAATGATTTCAAGTAATAAGGAATGCAAATGAGAATAAAAGAAACTTTCTTAAACAGTTAACGTCTAAAAAACATCAAAATGCATCTTCATTATCAACTATCGAATCATTGACAGTAATAAACGAATGCATCTTGGTTTCGAGCGGTAAATAAAGATAAGTCTTCATTAGACGAATCATTCATGTTTGATTCAAGGCAGTTCGGAGGAGGGAAGCAGCAGGTGGCGCGGCGGTGCACTACTGGTGATGGTCGTGTCAGAGCAGCCTCAGGGCAGAGCGTCCTGCTCCAACGCCGGACACAACAACAACAGCCGACGTGCAGCAGTCAAAATCAGGAGCAGTAAGCGCAGCAGGTAAAAACAGTAGCAGTAAAAGCGGCAGTCAAAAACAGTAGTAGTGCCTACGATAGTCAAAATCAGAAGGAGTGCGCGAAGCAATCAGCCTGAGTAGCAATAGGTGCCGCAGTCAGCATAAATCATGATTGCAATTTAAGCAGATAGATAAAATCTTCTAATGAATCTATTATTGACAATTAAACGGACATAAGAACCGCCATCATCCCGGAGAACAAATAACATTGATCGCATAAAAATGATCAAAATCAGCATTACCATCATCCGTGCCACCGTGCCAGCATCATCTACACCACTCATATCCATACCGACATCACCCACTCCAACCTATCCCGCACCAACATCCCCCATCGTCCACACCACCATCATCCGTATCATCATCATCATCATCCACACCACCATCACCCACCCCATCATCATCCACATCTAGATGTGTATAAGAGACAGGTGCACGACTCGAGCGTTTAGAACTACACGCAGTACACGCACGTCTCGAGCGTGTAGAACTACACGCAGTACATGCACGTCTCGAGCGTGTAGAACTACACGCAGTACACGCACGTCTCGAGCATTTAGAACTACACGCACGTCTCGAGCGTGTAGAACTACACGCACTGCAAACATCACACACGCCGCAGTAGGCCTAAGTGTGAGGCCAGACGGCGGGAAACAATAGGCCCAAGTGTCCCCCAGCAGCGGGGGGCGCGGCTCAAACCGGGTCCCCCCATGGCCCCCCGCTGGGCCTCTTATTTGTCTTCAAGAACAAGCCAAGGAGGCTCTGAAATAAACTGGAGAATTGTGTTGGGAAAAGTAGAAGTAATATTAGTTAATCTAATCTGCGGTGTTACAACACAATGTAATGTCTAGGTTTGATTTGTTGAGACGTAAAACACTACAGCTTACCTAGTGTATACCACCGTGACAACTATCACAAAAAATAACTACAATAAAAGTGATACTACTACTACTACTACTACTACTATCACACATCCAATGAATATCAAACACATGTATCGCCTAATACCAGTAAGCTTGAACCAGATCTCGAGTATCAAAATTGCAGCAGCAGAATAGCTATCAATGCTTCATTTTCTCAGAACTGAATGGCTCATATCAAGCGCAAATATAAAATAAAAATATTGACATACAGACATGCACCAAACTGCAATCGGGTCAGGAACGAGACTTGGAAATCATCGAAGAGAAAATACAGCATTAGACTTCATAAAAACAAACGACCATCGCAGCAACGTTGTGCATTGCTGCGACTCATGTGTCACTAATTTTTGTACCGCGGTTTTCCTTTAATTTTTTTTGCGATTATTCATAGTTATTTTTAATATATGTTCTGTTAAGTTTGTATTCATTTTTCAGTAAAGTTTCTGTCTTTCGATTTTACTAGCATTTTTATTTAAAGAAGCCTGTTCACTCTGATCATCCGATACTCGTCACTTTCATTGTCAGTTGTGAAGCAATTTGTACTTGACTGTTGGTGAACCTTCTGTTAATAGTTATATTGGTACATTCAAGTTTGAGTTGTGATATTTGTGAATATTAATTTTGTTAGGAATAACTAAAGTTAAGTACTATTGCCGCATCTTGTTAAGTTTACTCCTTTGGTTTACAGGATCATATTAGTTCACTACCACGAACCATAGACTCAGTGTGTGCCATTCGCTGGGTTCATTTTTTTGTTCTTGCTTCTGTATTTACCATTCATCATCAGTATCCACCAGTGAATTCGTTATCAATAAAGAGTCAAAAATCCAACGTCACTTCCTTGCACGGTTAAAGTTTGGTCAAAATCAAATCAAACCAGAAGATCAAATTTAAGAATATTGACCAACATTGGTAAAAATGCAATGACTCTTAAATGAACCAATTATTAAGAGAATTTTATTTGTAACATCGAAGGTTAATTATTGCTTTGAAATCGAAGAGTTATAAAGAAACTTCATCAAACTTCAGAAAATGTTACGACAGTTCCCGATATTCAGCCTATCTTTATAAGACAAGATTTTGAACAGTGATGCCTGACGACCAAGCAATTCGTTCGTGCAGCGCGTGCAGAAAATTTGTTTCGCGGGTGTCGTTTGATGTACAATCTTTGATTACGACGCTGCTAGTGACATAAGTAGACTTGCACTAACGAGGCTTACTAGCACTCAACAAAATAAAAATGACATCGGAGAAATCGAAGTCCTCGTTACCGCCCAACACAAACCGCAATCAACAACCCGTGATTTTCGAAAATCAGAAGCGGGTTATAGTTGGCCAGCGTTTATTCGGAGCTGTTTTGACTCATATGTTTATTGGTGAACGAGTCTCCTGATCACCTGATTGTGACGGCCTTCAAAGCTCGATTATTTGCATGTGTATTTCTTTGTTCCCGAACGACAGCTTGTTACAAGAACACGACCCTTCCATCGACATCGAACTCGAAGCAGCATGCAAGTTTAGAGCCAGAATGCCGGGGCTGGCTGCAGTGAATTTCGAGAATAACATTACAATTTTTAATGTGTTATACATGTGATATAGTAGAACAAGAAGGAAATATAAGCTGACAAAAATATAAGTCCAGTTTGGGGGTTA